TACATGCCTTTAACAAATTGCAAAATGATTTCATTAATTTACAAAGCAAGCATGAAATTTTGAAATCCGATCATGAGTTGTTAGCATCTAAGTTTGAAACTATTTCTAATGAAAATGTGATTCTTAAAGAAAACAATGAAAAATTAAAATTGGATCATGTTTCTTTAACTTCAAACGTTGCTAGTTTAACTCATGAAAGAGATAATGTCATGTTAGAAGTAAAGAACATACAAAATAATACATCTTCTTTTATAAATGACTATTTATGTTCTACTTCTAAAAATGCATATGTGCCTAAAAATGAAGATTTGAATCTTATGAAAAATAGTATTTCATCTTTAGATTCAACTTTGAGAACATGCATTAATAATCATAAGAAGCTTATGGATATGTGTGCTAAGTCAAAATCATTCAATCATTATGCACACATGTATAGCAAAACTTATAAATGTTCTATTTGCGGCCGTCAAGGTCATTTAGCTAAGTTTTGTTATGATGCACACAAACTTAAGAATTCTAATGCTCCTTGTGCATCTCATGTAGCTTCTTCATCACATGTACACACACATGCACCCATTATTCATCATAATCATCATAAGCATGCTAGTGTGTTCAAGTGTGATCATTGTGGTCGTTTTGGCCATTTGGCAAAATTTTGCTATGATTTGAAAAAGACTTCACTTTTGCCAAATGATTTTAAAAGACCACAAAAGTTTAAATGTGATGTTTGTGGTAGATATGGCCACTTAGGAAAGTTTTGTTTTGATAAAGTTTCGCATTTGCAAAATAATTTTCAAAGAAAATATTTATTTGCAAATGATTCACGTGCACGAACTAATGGTCCACAAAAACAAATGGATCTCTTTCATTGCACAAATTGCAATCGGAATGGTCATTTGAGCGATTATTGCTTTGACCGTGTTAGTGCACTACATGTGCCCAAATGGGTTCATAACCCTAGGGCTTTGAGCTTAAATGATAGGGGTCATGTCCCTAAATCTTTTGGTACCAAGAGTTCTTGGGTACCAAAACAAATTTGATATTCAAACTAAGAATTTTAATGTTTTTATCATTCTTTGTCTTATTTTTGAAAATTATGCTTTGAAATCTTCTTATATGAAAACAATTTATAATTGATAAAATCTTTTGTTTTCATGATTATTTGTTTTGTTTTGATGAGAGGTTTGTACTTATATAACTCTCCGGATTTATTGGGTGTTTATTCCCAAATCATGTTTACCGGATGCTAAAATGTTCATATGGGTTAATACTAGCTCAAGAGCTAGATAGAGTTGCCTCTCTTGATTTTTGAAAATCAATGATGATTTGGTTTTATGATTTAAACTTTGATTTATGATTTCAATTGGTTGATTTGTTTTCATTTGAAAACTTTTTACATGATTCTCGTAATTCTCTTCTTTTGATTTCATAAATCTATTTTATACATTGGCTTTTATGATATGAGACAATATATTCATCTATCCCGGGGCGAGCGTGCCTACGACATCTTCTCCCGGGGCAAGCTAGCGTCTTCGATCCGTCGTCGTCAAACCCTAACGTCACCATCATCACCGGAATCAACCTCAACCACGATGACATCGCCGGTTATCTCTCCGAGGAGATCGGCTTCCTCTCCGATCTCACGCTGTTTCATATCAACTCAAATCGATTCTGCGGCAAGATTCCCCTCAAGTTCGAAGCTCCTCTTCGAGCTCGACATCAGCAACAATCGATTCGCCGGGAAATTTCCGAGGGTAGTTCTCCGCCTGCCATCGTTGAGGTACCTGGATCTGAGATACAATGAGTTCGAGGGCACGCTCCCCAGCGAACTATTCGACAAGAATCTCGATGCGATTTTTATCACTAATAACCATTTCGTTATTAATATCTCAAAAATTTTCTCAATATACAGCTTACAGTACCTCTTGTTTGAAGATTTGAAAAGCCTATACTTGCATTGCTGAGGCACTGCATGTTGTAATTTTATTGAGAACGTCATCTTTTGTGTTTAAACATGCAGAAAGCTTGCTGTAAATGTTCAAGGCCTATTTCAGAAGATGACTGTGTGCGACCAAATTTAGGTACAATTACTTCTACTTTCATGATGTTATCTGATATTGAATTTACATATAATAAACTTTGCTGATACGGAAGCGTAGCCAAAAATGATGCTTCTAAATAAAGGGGAAAAAGAGCAAGATGAAGAGTGCTATTTAGTTACCTATCTACGGTTGTATATTGCTAAATATTAACTACTAATATGTGTGACCTATATGATTTCTGCATTGCAGTATCTTGACCATCTTTTTTCTTGTTCAAAATGTTATTTATGACTTTTCGTCTATCTCTGTTTGCTTCTCACTTTCCTAGCTTATGATTTATGTCGGTATGTATTTGCCAGGGATATTTTTTGAGTGTTCATGAGGATGTAACCAAACAATTTTGATTATCCAAGTTATTTGTTTGATGTAGAGCACTCTTAAGGATTATTGACATGCTCTGAATTATGTTTACCTTTTCTTTGACTCTGCTGGCAACCCATGCCCATTGATGTATTTCTTTTTCTTTCACATTCATATTACTTATATGATTATGAGAATTTGTCTTGTTATTCTTGCTATAGTAATTTTAAACTCGTGAATTCTCTGTTTCTTCAGATTTCTACAGCTCTACGTTCTGCTGTTCAAGCATTTCGCAGAGAGGAGGAACAAACCTCAAAAGTGGCTAAAAGAAGAAGAGACAGATTTGAGCAGGTGATTGTCTTGGGATTTTTGTTTTTCCAGCTTTGCATGTAGTAATTTATAGTCCTCTGTTACTTCTTTACGATTTATAAAAAAGTCCTTTTTTTAGGATAAATGTAGTCCCAATGATCCATATCCTATGTGTTCTTTGTTTAATCTATTACTACATTTTATCAATTAAACTAACATCCAAAAATTCACAATGATTGCAAACAAATTTCGTTTGCAGATGCCACTTATTGCTAATTTGTTTATGCACTATTTTCTATTAGAAGAAGATTGGAAACAAATTTATCAACCAGGTACACTACCATATATAATTCACATTGAACCATGGTTTCTGAATGTTGTTGATTGGACTTTTGAGTAATTCCATTCTAAAGCATATAATGTTAATTGCATTTATGTGTTTTTAGGACACAAAATGTATGTACACCTGCTTCATATGATGTAAAGACTACTTAAAGATGTTAGTTCTTTGCAAACTTGAGGAAATTAAGTTTTAGCTAGTATAGTTTTAGTTCTTAACAAATAGAGAAATGTAGAGCATTTTGAATCCCTTGTATTATTAGAAAGTATGTCTATGAAGCTTATTTACTTCAATTTGCGTCCCACAAATGGAAAATTATTTTTTGATGTTTTTGCCAAAGACTACTAGAGGGAACTTCAGTCTCATCTTCTCAAATTGTCGGACGAAAGGGATAAATCTGTTTCAATCATCAAGGAGGTTCATACATGCAACTCTTTTTATTCTCAATGCACTCCAAGATGCTTCTTGATTTGTAACCAATGACCATGTCTGATTGTTAACTCGGTAAATTAAATACCATGGAGTAGGAGACCATTCATTTTAAATTCATAATATATATAGGTTTTACATTGATGGTACTGACCTTAAGCATTTGGAAGCATGAATGCCATTACTCACACATGGACAGTCACAGAATGTGCACGTGCACATAGATCTAAGTTAGAATTTACAAGAATGGAGGCAATTATGCTAGTTTCTTCCCATAAGTACCCAACAGTGTGTTCCATCTTTTCTAGAAGGAAGTGTTGAACATTTTAGGTATCAACAATATTTCACCTCTTGGAAGATTCTTATTGTGCACCATGTGCAAACTACAAGCTCAAACTTGCCTTTTCATGAAGTAGTCAAAGTTGTAGGCATTTTTCCTTCATAATATTACAGTAGATATGAAGGACTTGATTTCTGGTCTTCTACAGGGTTCATGACTTAACATGTCTTACTATCTGTCAGCATTTGATCTATTACATTAATTTTAGATTTGTGTGGCTAGACTTCCATTTATTGAATATCATGTTCACTTTTTTCACGTAACCTCTTTAATTAATAATACGTACCAACAGGGTAGGATCCCAAGTTTCATACCTTTCTGTGACGTGTTTTGATCAGTTCATGAACTCAATTCCATTCTCTAGCCTCCCTATAGTTAAGATCAAAGTCAGCACAAAAGATTTCCTTGTCGCCAACATTGACAAAATGAAGGTCGCTCTATCATCTAATCAATTGTTTGTGGAAATTACAGTAACACGCATATACTTGTACTGTAATTATCTACTTTACATAGCATTGGTAATAATTAACTTCTTATGTGACTAACCTTTGATTGCATGTAATGAACTATGTAGGACATATTGTTTGAAAGTTCGAAACTGGACGTGATTCGGCCTTGTTATGAAGCTGCATTGGGGTTTTATTCACTGGAGGATGTACTCATCGTTGAAATTCCATGTAGAGGTTGCTCTAACTTTTAACATTTGAATGTCCTCTATATAATATAGTAGACCAGTTTGACCATTATTTATGTCTTCCACCGAATTCCTTTTATTAGGCTTTTATTTTTTTAGTTTTCTATTTCTCCCGAACTTATTGCTCTTATCATGCAGCCATGCCAGGGCCACCGTCCTCCACTAAGATGCAGTGCTCCTCAGAAGTTGAAAAGCATGTGGAAAAATGGAAGAAGATTGAAAAAGCATATGTAGAGAACTTGATCAAAAAGAATGCAGGTTAGTGATGATTTGTTTTGCTAAAGGCATTATATTAATTGCTTTGATTTGTTATATTTAGTTTGACATGAAATTATGCCTGTGCATAATAAGTTTGAATTTGACATGTCGCTCCCTTGGGTCCAAAGATATGTAATTACAACATGTCAGACCGTATATTGTAATTTTTGCTATAAGTTAAAGAAACATTTTGAGCAGTTTTTAACAATTGAGGAGGCAATTATAAACAAACATGAAGCTGTCAAGACTCGGGAAGAATGAGAGTTTCTTTGCACTCATTTTTCTAGTGAAAAGTTTAAGGTACAATATCTTTTTTTTTATTTTTCTCCACGCATTACATTTTTTCTTTTTTTATTTACTTCTTTCTAATTATATGTCTTAATAATTTTAAATTCGCTCAGAGAAGAATGTTCTTAATAGGTCAAAGTTGACATATCACCACAAAGCTGGGTCAAAATCATTTATGTCGCACCAAGACCAAATTGTAAGACACTTTTTAGTTTTGCTTATAAATTTGTAACTTAATTGTGTACATATATATATGCTAAAAATGAAAACATGTTTGAATGCAATAGGCAACACAGACTGGAGAGATGCAAGGTGCAATTGATCGTTTTGAAACAGAGTATAGAAGTACAAAAAAAGGATGGGACTTGGGAGCAAAGGAAAAATGGGTAAGTAACGTGTCAATGATGCATGCTTTTATAATATTTTAAGAATATAAGTAAAACTGATATTACTGTTCTAAAGATGATTATATTGATTAGGTTGTAATTGAGAAGTTGCATATGATTGAACTGGATATATATTTTTTTACTTATAGGAACAAATGATAAAGATGCGAGCAGATACCACTCAACCTGATGGAACTCGAACAATGACAGATGAGAAAATTTGTGCAAAAGTTCTCAAAGTCAAATGAGGCTACATTAAGGGCTGTGGTTTTGGCCCTAGACCACCATCATTAAGGTTCTTTCGTTCTAAAGAGTTGTAAGAATAGCTTCAAGAGACCCAACAACTTATAGGAACTCAACAACAAAAGATCAATGCGTAAAATGAGGTAATCCAAAGATTGGAGGAGCAAGCCAAAAAGTTTGAGGAGTTTATGGCTAATTTTTCCAGGCAACATCCATCAGCTTAGTATTCTTAGTGAACTTAAACTTGGAGAAATGTTTCTTTGATTGTGTTGCATTTGTTATTGTTTTAGACTAGCATTGTTATTTATGGTAGAAACTTGCTTGTTTTATTTATTTTAATTGTTTTGATGTACTGTGGTGATAATTGATGATAATTATTTATATTTTGAGCATTTTTCTCGTAATAGCATTATTATTGCTGAAATAAAATTTCCTCATTATAAGTATATTGCTTACGTCGTTAAAAGAATATTTCATCGTTATAGAGTATATTGCTTACATCGACAAAAACATATTTTCTCGCTATAGTGATACAACCTATAACGACAAAAGTAATTTTCCTCGCTATAGACCATATAACCTATATCGACAAATATAAATTTCATCGTAATTGAATTTCTTTGGCGAGGAATATGAGGTACAACCTACAACGACAAATTTAAATTTCCTTGTCTTTGATTCCCTTTACTGAGGAATTGTTTCCACGAGAAAAAGATACATATAATGAAGAAAATTAATTTCCTCGTTAAAGATTTACCTTTGGTGAAGAACAGTTTCCTCGCTGAAAGATACTTACAACGACGAAAATAGTTTTTTTAGAACTTTTATTATATATAAATTAAATATTATTCACGTATCATTAGCGAGGAAACTGTAGTTTAGCGATGAAAAAGGTATGAGATTAGGTGAGGAAAAATATCGAGGCTAAAGAGTAACAACGAGAAAAGAATATATTCATCGCAAAAAGGATTTCGCGAGAAATTATAATATTCCTCACAGAAACTTTTCTTGACCACCCTACCGCGAGGAAATGGTGACCAAAGTTTTTTCCTCGCCAACACACTACGGCGAGGAAATCACGACTTTCAACGACAAACTTGTTCCTCGCGGATTAGCTTTTTTGTTGTAGTGCAAGGACAGTTGATCAGTTAGTTAAACTGATTAAAGTGGATATGATGATTGCAATTATTAATAGTGACATAGATACTGAAAGCAAGAAATGGGTGCAGTAGCAGTTATTGATTCTTCTAGGCAACAGTGTATAAAAACAGGGAGTTTGCTCCTTTTTTTGGATGGTTTGGATATGTTGTGTAGTAGAGCTCTACATATCTTGAGTTTTAGTTGAAAGCTTTTGTTTTGATATCTCAATTTGAGATTCTTGATGTACATATATTCTTCATTTTGGTGATGAATAAAAGAACTTTCATTTACCCAAAAAAAATAATAACAAATTTAAACAAAATTATTAAAGAAATTAATATAAGCTTGTGATTTTTAATTAATGGTGTTGTTGTTTTATGTTTTGTGTCCATATAATGTTCATGGCTCTAGGATCTCATTATTGGTGTTGTTAATTTCTGTTTTTTGCAGCAGTACAATTACTCAATTGCTGAAGATGATGAGTCTTCCAAGTCATATGTAATGCAGCAAATTTGGTTTCTGTTGTTCTGTGTACTATGGTTAATTTCTTGTACTCCATGTTGGACTATCCAAAGACTAGTATTTGTTTTTTGGCACATTTGTGTTGACTCTTCTTGTATGCTACAACTTGGTTATGTATCAGTTTGAATCTTTAAATGAAATATTTGCTTTTATGGTTGTCACAATTGGATGTTATTTCTAGTTCAACCTCAAAGGTTTATAGGCACAACTGAAATGCTATAAGAAGTGAAAACAATTACTGAAATGCTATTAAAAGAAGAAAGACAACATTCACTGAAACGTCATTGTAGTAACTCAAACGCTATCAAATGTAAGACAATAGCAACGTTGAAATGCTATGAATGAAAACTAACTAATAGCGTTTTTAAACCGCTATGAAAGATATTTGTCATAGCAATATAGAAACGCTATTGAATACTCTTCTATAGCTACATAAAAACGCTATGGTTGAAAACTAACTAATAGCGTTTTCAACCGCTATGAAAGATATTTGTCATAGCAATATAGAAACGCTATTGAATACTCTTTTATAGCTACATAAAAACGCTATGGTTGGAAACTAACTAATAGCGTTTTCAACCGCTATGAAAGATATTTGTCATAGCAATATAGAAACGCTATTGAATACTCTTTTATAGCTACATAAAAACGCTATGGTTGGAAACTTTTTGATAGCGTTTGGGGAAACGCTATGTAAAACCACAGACCTACTATAGCGGGTTCTGACACAGCGTTGATTAAAACGCTATGAAATAATACCATAGCGTTTTTCGACCGCTATGGTAGATTTCAGGTGTTGTAGTGTTCATTCCCTCCTGCCTGCTTCTCTGCCGCTGGAATGTTGTCGCTACAAGGTTGAAGAGAGAGTGTGTGCGTGCGTGTGTCAAGGTGAAGGCTGGGGTGTCATTCGGATAAGTTATGGGTCAGGGTTTAACGGGTTTTTCGAGGGATTTTTGGTTCCCACACGTTGAGGTTTTGGGTTTTGCACCTGGAGACGAGATAACAATCGGTTCCCACGCGAGGCCCTTCAAATATTCCTAATCAAAAAGCGTTGACACAAGACTGCGTCCCGAGTCTCTCCGATTCTTAAAACGCGTCATCACTAGCTTTTTCTTGTGTTACGTTTTCATTTACGTAGTATTCCATCACAAAAGTACGGACCAGGACTTGCAAAACTCTTTCATCATGTCGCCACGTCTCTTAATCTTTCCCAATTTTAGCCACCCTCGCTCGTTGTGTATGCTGCGAAATTTGTGTCACCAACTTCAAGTTTTGTTGGAGAAGGTCTGAATCCAACAAAGTGTTCTCCTCGATGCAAAAGAGGAGCTATTCCATCCCTTCAGGCTTGTTAATTAACAGTGGCGAAGCCACGAATTTTTTTTGGGGGGCAAAGTAGAGCCATCACATTAATGTATCTCAATAAAGAATTATAAGCATCAATGGGTTTTACGGGGTTTCTATACTTATATAAAGATGTAAATGACATAAAGAAAAAGTAATATGTGTTGCACATATAAATCAAGCAAAACTTGCTTTAGATCAGGTCTCAGTACATAAAAATATTTTCTCATCTTAGAAAATTAAATTTGTTGGGAAATGCCTGGGGCTACGCTAAACCCCTAAAACAGTAAAAACGCAGTATAGAGAAAAGTACACCAAGATTTACGAGGCTCGGCAAACTTGCCTACATTCTCGAGAGGCACACAATTAATTTCTTATTAATTAACAAGAAATTACAATGCAAGAGCAGATCTCAAACTTGAGATATCTCAATAAATACAAATCTTCACTATAGCTACAGTTAAGTTTCTCCTCTCTTAATTAACCATCTTTAATTCCTCCTCTTTAAATTTCTCCCTTTAATTTTTCCCTCGAATCTCTGAGCGTTGGAAAGAAAAGAATCACGAGAGGAGAGAGAAGGAGCTCTGCCGCCACTGAAAGAACGCGAGACGGAGGAGGAGAAGCAACGAGATCTCGGGCTTGGGTTCCCTTTTATAAGGGAACCCCAAAGATAGGTTGGCGACAGGCTGTCGCCAGCCATGCGTGCGTTCGCCTGGATCGCATGCGCTCGAGCTCGCCTTTGGATCTCGCCCTCGTCCACGCCACGCTCGAGCTCGCCTGACGCAAGCCTTGAGCTCGCCAGTAGCCCCACTCGAGCTCGCCTTCAGACCGCCTCGACTTCGCCTGCAGATCAGCGTCGACCTCGCCTGACCACGTCCGCTTAGAGCTCGCCTACAAATCTCGCCGAGCTCACCTGAAGGAGCTCCTCGCTTGCTCGTTGCCTGTAGGTAGGTTTGGGCTACACCCAAATCCAACAAAATTAACCTTAAATAATCAATGTAAAGATTCAAACTTTCAATATTTATTATCCTAAACTTTTTAGAATGTAAGACTTAGGAATAAATAAAAATTCGAAGGGGGAAACATTGTCATACTTGGAGGAAAAGAAATCCTCGATATTTAGAGAAAAGTTGTCTAAATAAGAGGAAAGATTGTCTAAATAAAAAGTCACAATACTAGCACCAAACATTGAGAGTTAAATTGATAAGGAGAAAGATTGTCTAAATTAACAAAAGTAAAGTAGGGTTTAGACTTTTCAGATTACATTGTTAATGGATCTGAATGAGAAGTTGAGAAAAAAAATGACATCGTAAGAAGGAGGAGTTGGAGAAGGAGATCATTAGATTTTGCTGTTTGAATATTTTCACAAACATAGGATCTAGAGAAATGCGATTTGGGATTCTAGATTTCTTTTCGGCATTGATATTTTATGAATCTAGTTTGAGGGAGTGGGTTAATTTGATTTTGGGATATCAACATAAATGGACTCGTTATCCAATTAGGTTTTTAAAATTGTGATTTTTCCACATAAAAATCATCCACAACTGCTTGCAACTATATTATTGCAGTACTTCAGCAAGTTGCTACAAAAATAGATCTTTTTAATCAACTTGCTCTTCAGACTGTACCTAATATACTACACAACATCACCATCTTGATACAAGTGATTAAATGCTTGTACACCAAGTGCATGTACTGTGCCTAATTTGTGGGTGCCATTGTACTTCAGGTAAATATCATCATTTTTCTAGCTTTCACTTTCTAATGAGAAGCTGAAAATAGTAATATTTGTTTGTGCACTCGAGTTGCTTGCAGACACGGGAACCGTGACCGACCGGCTAATTTTGGGAACATTCCTTGAGTACAATGCACTTGTACGTATTAGTGGAAATTAATTATTTATCATTTAAAATCTAAAACAGGATAAATGTGTAGAAAGTATCCTTAAATTTGTACAAAATATGGGAAATCACCTTAAGATTTAAGAATAATATTTTATCCC